TTTTTTTTTCTTAACATATATTGCATTATTTGTTTCAGAGGTACAGATCTGAGATTCAACAGTCTTGCACAATTCACAGCGCTTAGTAGGTAAGATGTTTTTAAACCTTTGGGCAGTGGGGGAATTGGAAACACAGAGTTAGGAGTGATGAACCAAGGAAGAATTCCTGTAGGCCAGAGTGTAGCCTGGTTTTCCAAGGGAGTGAAAAGAAGGAACCAACCCTACCATGAAATGCAGGGAAAATTAAAAGGAAGAGAAAATCAAACATTTAAACTTGTACAGAGTTCTATATGGAACAGAGAGGTATGAAGCCTTCCTTGACCTGTATACTCTGAAGGAGTGATCCCTCCTTTGTAGAATTCACCATCTGCAACATCTAACATATACTGTTGTGAGTTATCTCCTCTGTCCCACCCTTTATCAAACATAGTGAGTTCCAAGCACTACAAGAGACACTGAGGTTTCGGGTGAATGTGATGTGATCCTTACTTTTGAAGAGGTTGAGAAAGATGAGTAAATAAATGACCACAATATTCTGAAATCTGTTTTATAATAGAGGCAATGGAGGCATACAGAGGAAAGAATACTTATTATTTTTCCTCTTTTATGTTCTTTTCTTGAACCAGACTATGAAATTAGTGGCAGTATTATGTTTTCTATTGCTTTGTGTCCTTAGTACCCAGTGCTATTTCTGTTTATAATAGATACACAACATGTGGAAGTCAGGACAGGTCCCTAAGCCAGAACATAGGAGAATAGCAGAAGAGGGACAAAATAAGAATGGTCACAGTTGGGAGGAAGGCATAACTAGCAGGTACAGAAAAGCAAAGGCTAAGTAACTTTTATGATACTTGGCAAAGAAAAAAAAAAGACTAGAAAAATTGGATTTTGTGATCAAGAAGGAAGGAATTTTTATTAATGTCAGGAGATGGATAAAGCAGAACTTTTTGATGTCTTCTATTTTATCTCTTTAGAAAAGATCACAGGTAAATAGTTGACTGGGGGAAGTTTAGTCAAAGTGAAATTTTGAGAAATGAACAGGTAATAAGAGAGAAAAGAATGAGAGAAGGAAATGGGTGAAGTTAATGAGAGAAGGGGAAATGGAAGTATTCAGATCAACAGAATTGGATGATATGCACCCTCGGGATACTTGCTGTACAAGCAGATGTGGCCACAAACCCACAGGTCATTATTTTTGAAAAGTGACGGGGAACGGGAAAAGTCCCTAGAGACTAGAAAAGGGCAAAGATACCTATCTTTGAAACAGGAAGGGGAGAAACACAGGATGACCCTGGTAATTAAAGACCGCCAACTTATTGATCTTTGGGCAAAGTGAGAAAGAACCATCAAATAATCAATTTGCAGTTACCAAGAAATCCTGAGACACTAAATAGGAGTCAACATGGTTTTGTGGAGGGCAAAACAGACAGACAACAAAAGGGCAGAATCCATAGACCAGGGAGGAGTCTCCAGTGTAATCTGTTTCACTAGATAATCTGGGAAAAGTAGAATCTTGACCACATTTAATAAGCTGTCTATCTGGGTTGAGGATTTGTGGATGATGGAGATGGTGTGGGAACAGCGGACATGTTGAGTGATGGCCCAGTAGGGACTCGTCCTGAGGGCCTGTCTCTTTAGCTTATTTATTGATGTTCCAGACAAAGAAATGAAGAACGTGAGTATCAAAATTGCAGGTCCCAAATCTGTTGTGGTTTTGATTTTCTAGAAAATAGTAATAAAACTCTGAATGATCCGATGCACTGGAAAAATAAGCCTATCATAATTAGAGTTGAAACTTAATAAAAAAATGTGTTTGTAAAGACCCAAACCCAGGAGTACAAACACAGGATGGGTATAAGAGAAAAATAGTGGGGGTTAGAATAACCACAAATAGAATGAGTTAGGAACACACTGTGGTTACGTAAAAACCCACACCATTCTTAGATGGAGTAATTTACTCTTTCATTTTTTTTTTTATTCTTATGTTAATCCCCATACATTACATCATTAGTTTTAGATAAAGTGTTCCATGATTCATTGTTTGTGCATAACACCCAGTG